AAGGCTCTTCCGCAGATAAACTTCAATTATAATAGCATGTCTCTGCAAGCATTCAAAGTCTCGTCCATATAGTTTGATATAGATATAAGCATTTTAAATTAAAAGTAAGTGATTGCAACTGAGTTGCAGCAAAGATCCCGCTGAGATTCCATGGGGAGTAGACGGAGCGGAGTATGTTGTGGAATCGACGGGCGTTTTTACAACAACGGACAAAGCAAGTGCGCATCTGAAGGGTGGTGCCAAGAAAGTTATCATTTCGGCTCCATCTGCTGATGCACCGATGTTTGTAATGGGTGTCAACAATGATACGTATGATAAGGCCAACAATCATATCATCTCTAATGCTTCTTGCACCACCAATTGTTTGGCTCCGTTGGCCAAGGTTGAAGATTTTCTAATTTAAGCTAACATTTATTTTTTTCTTTTGTAAAAATTGATCAGATACAGCGGAAATAAGATGTGAAACAACTGTTGATTGTTTCATCATTTGAGGAGTTTTAGTGTGATATGTCTGAGTCTTTAATTTCAGGTCATTCATGACAAATTCGGAATTATTGAGGGCCTTATGACCACTGTACATGCAACAACGGCTACTCAGAAGACTGTTGATGGACCATCTGGAAAACTGTGGCGAGATGGTCGTGGTGCTGGCCAAAACATCATTCCAGCAAGCACTGGTGCAGCCAAGGCCGTAGGGAAAGTAAGCTTTAATGCTGAAAACGTTTTTTAATTTTCGGATCTTGCCTATTATGAAGGTGGGAGTTGCATCCATAAAGATTTTAGGTTATTCCGGATCTGAATGGAAAGCTTACTGGCATGGCTTTCCGTGTTCCAACTCCGGATGTATCAGTAGTTGATCTCACTTGCCGACTCCAGAAAGGTGCAACAATGGATGAAATTAAGGCTGCTGTAAAGGAAGCAGCTAATGGACCGATGAAGGGGATTTTGGAATACACCGAAGACCAGGTAAGTTCTGAGCTTGAATTTTGGAAGTGATTTTAATGAACACTGAAAATAGTTTGCTTCTTTCACTTATTCTTGCCTGTATATATTTATCTGTTTGCTTATGTAACGCAATTTTCATAAATTCTTCTTGATTAAGGATGGTAATGAAGTTTTTAATTTTAACTTCTTATAATTTCAGGTTGTATCAACTGATTTCACTGGTGATACACATTCATCGATCTTCGATGCCCTGGCATGCATTTCTCTAAATCCAAATTTCGTTAAGCTGATTGCATGGTACGATAATGAATATGGCTACAGCAACCGTGTTGTTGACCTCATCTCGTACATTGCCAGCAGATAAACAGTACTGGTGGTACATTATCATCACTATGGTCTAATAATAACAAAACCAGATTACTATTATGGAAAAACAACATTAAAATTTTTTTGTAATTTTATTATTGAAATGAGTAGATATGCATTTCTTCATTTCTAAGAAAACTTTCTCTTTTACATAACATTTTATCATATATCTCTCGTAGTTGATATTTGTGTGTGTGTTTTTTTTTTTTTAAATTACAATGGGTAGCTTATATTTCTGTTGTACGAGTTTTAGTTTCAAGTAATAAATCAATTCAGAAATTTTTTTCTTTTTTTTTACATATTTGTGTTATAGATCGTTACTGACTACTTGCTAGCAATAATGAACGCTGTTTAAAAAATGTTGAAAGTTGAAGTTCATTACATCTCTGATATACAGCAGCAATAGTGTTGTACGTTTTTGACTTTCGGAATAGTTCTCTGTTTTGCTAAATGAGTTGCTGTGATAAGTTAAAAGTGTCGGCCAGCGTCAATTATTTCGTGAAAAAAAAAGAAAAAACCATTTGGTGTTACTTCGAGAATGAGCGATGAAGGTTTGATGTGATGTGTTAAAAAGAATTCCAAAAAATGTTGCTTGGAATCTGAAGTTCATAAATATAACTTTAAAAGTGCTGAAGTTTGATAGGAATGTTCTTTCGCTATCATTTGAACATATTATGCAATCATAAGGGATGATGCATCTCACAAATCATCTATAAAATTGGATTTATCTGAAACATTAGTAGTATTTGGCAGAGGTGTATCTTATCACTGAGTGCAATAATGTAATAGCAAAGGAAGTATTTGCGAGTAAATTACATAGGAAACTAGTGAGTGCTTTTAAATCTTCTACGTTATAAAATCAGCAAATATCATTTGTGAAAATAATTTCGTTTTATTAAATTTCTTTTAGCGAAAAATTAGGTTGTAAATCATCTGTTTCAAGACATTTTTAATTTTGCTAAACTAAGAGTTTAATGATTAGAAGACTTTGAAGTTAGAGAAAATTCACTATTAGTAATTAAACAAACACATTAAATGCTGGGTATATTTTGATAATTTATATGGTTTTGTATTTATTTGTATTAAAAAAATTTAATCACTCATATAATGATATTTCACATAGATTTTCGCGTAGCTATTATTTTGTAATTCTTGAAATTAATTTTTCTTTTATTGAACGTTCAAAAAGTCCCAGGAAATAATTATCAGCCATTCTCGAAAAATGTGTCGGAATTTCTATAAGTTTCTCTTTTCTTTTTTTTTTTTGCACTCTTTTAATTTTAACTTTTATTTTCATATTTAGTTTTATCACACTTTTTTCCCTTTCTTTTATATTTCGAATTTCATTAATTATTATTAATTGCATTATTTTATCAAATGATATATAATCGATAGTTCATAATAGTTGAAAGAAATTAGATAAATGTAACAATAAGATGTAATAGAAGTAACTAAATTTTTCTTCCATTTTTTACTTAAAATCTAATATTACTTTTTTTTTGAGGAAAATTATCACCGGACTGCTATTCTTAAAAAAAAAATAAGAGATTAAATAATATCCATAAAGCAATATGATTAAATAGTATGCTTCTAAAAAATTCAGTATAATTAAGTAGTATCAATTTAAAAAGTGTCTATAAGTAAATTTAATTAAATATAATAAAAAAAATCAAATATAATTAAATAAAATTAATCAAATAGCAACTAAGCATAATCAAGCGTAATTAAAGAGTATTAATTAAATAATATTACAAAAAATAGTACCAATACCTAATTGAAGTATGCTTCTAATTAAGTTATCCATTTTGAATGAATTAATTTTAATTGATTTATTTATTAATCGCTCTGATATTTTTATAAATTGTAAACATCATCTAATTGATCAATGATAACATTTCTTGGTATAGTTTCATAAAAATTGGTCGCATCAAACATTTTTATCAAATTACCTAAATATTTATTAGAATTAATAATGTTTCTTTAAATAATCATTAAATCTATGATAATTAATTTAGCTCCGAAAAGTCTTTTTCAAATAAAAATTTTAAATCTTAAAGTTTTTTCATACTAAATTTTAAGTTTATTTTTACAAATATATTTTTACCTTAAACATTTAACACTATAACAAAAAAAATTTATTAAATATGATTTATTAAAAGCATTAGAAACAATAGGTCATTAAGTTCACTAATTTATTCAAATTTATAATTTGAATTAAAAAAAGAAAAAACTTACTTGATGGTGCAACAAAAAATATTTTAAAACCACATGAAATGAGTTCATCATAAATCTAAAATCAATTTTAAATTGCTAAAATATTTTGTTATATGCAATTCTTATTAGACTTTATATTTTTTCCATATCAAAAATAAAATGTTATCAATATTGTTTATGATTAATTTACATACAATAAGTTATTCCATTTCAAAAATTCACTAATATTTAAAAAAAAATTTTTTTTAAACCTCAATATATCAGTTGAAAATTTAATTTTTAAAAGGTTTTCATTAAAAAAATCAGTTTTTTTCATTCATTTATTAACTCATCATTTTTATCAATTTAGCTAACAACTTACTAAAATTAGTAAGATTTGTTTAAACAAAGCTGTGGTGATTAATTTAGCTTCAAAAAGTTTTTTTTTAAATCAAAATTTTAAAATCTAAAACTTTTTCATGCTCATTGTTTTCAGTAAGTTTAAGTTTTTCCTAAATTTTTAAAAAATTTTTCCTCAGTAAGTTTAATTTTTTTACATTTCAAAAATCTAAATAAAAAAAAAGCAAAATACTAAAATAAATGACCAATTTAATGGCCACAACTCCGGAATGGTCAACATATGAAAAACTTGAACAATCAATTGCATATATTAGTGAGTGGTCATTCATCGAATTATTTTCATCATTTGACCATTGCTTTTGCTAAAAAGGAAAATAACAAATAGTTAATTGTATTTTTATCATTTCATTACAACTTTCTATTTTTTTAAAAAATTTTCTACATTTTCAACTTAAATATTCTATTAAATTAAATAAATATTAGTTAGTAAATAATTAAATTAAAAAAAAAAGAAATAACAAAACTCATTCAATGATATGTGATTCATTTTATAATTGATAAGAGGTCGATTTTGTGAATGTTTACTTTTCAAACGATTAACTGATTGATAAATAACCTAAAATAGTATATTACAAATGGTATTTGCATAAATATTTGTTATTAGTAATAAGTTATTAATAATTATAGCATTAAAATCGAAATTAATTTTATAAATGGAAGAAATCCTTTTTTTTTTTTTTTTTTTGAATTTTATGTAAATTGCTATTATTATGTGAATGTTTCCATAATATCATTAAGTATTTACTTATATTTTTCCATATTGAATTTTTGATTTGAAAATTATTATTTTATTTCTCATCTCATTTTTTCTTTTCTAAAATTTTGGATATTTTTAAATAAGGAAATAACAAATTTGGTTTTTTTATTGAATAAGGAGAGAAAAATAGTTTTAATAATAATAGCTTGAAAAAAAAGGTTTGAAATTGTTGTGATAAAAAAATAATTCAGAAATTAAAACAATGTTTGAAATTTGCATATGGTTATTGAAATTAATCAAATATTATTATTTCACTTTTAATTTTAAATAATTATTATTCTTATTGAAATCAATCAGATTTACTTTTTGAATTTTACTTTCAAACAATTATTGCTGTTTTTTTTTCTTCTTTTTTTTCAAATTTAAATGAAATTAAAATAATAATAATAAGAAACAAGGAAGAAATAAACTGAACCGTAACAAATGGATTTGTGCTTGTAAATATTAATGGCGCGTTAAATCGGAAAGTACAAATATTACTATTAATAGAATTTAATTGTTTACTTTCCATTTCACAACAATTTCCATCATCGTTTCTTGCTAATAAATGCCAAGATGGCCTTGAAAACAAACAACAAAAATGAAACAAATTGCATTTTAACTTAAATTTATACTTTTAATTTTTTGTTTTACTCTTTCGTTCCTAGTATTAAAAAGTTTTTAAAATGATAAATTTTTTTAGTTATTACAAAATTATTTCATTACTTACTTACCTAAAGCTATAAAATAGCATTGTTAGCATTATCAAAGTATACATAACATTTTCACTTATTACTTTCTTATTTATTTCTTTGCATATTTAATACTTATTTAACTTATTGAATTAATTACATACTTACCATTGATTACGAATACAGCAAATGCAACTGCTAATGCCAAACCTTCGCTAACATCAAAACAAATTGTAAACATCATACTCATCAACCATATTAGCTAAAAATACATTAATTAAATCGAATTTTAAGCAAATTAATATCTGAATCAATAAAAAAAGAAAAAAAAAGAAGTTAATGATAATTAATTAATCAATTAAGCAATCAATCATTCAATCAATATTATAATTTCCAGCATAAGTAAGAAGAAAGTGAAAAAATCATATAAAAACGTGAAATAGACGTTTGAAAACATGACGCAATAATTTTTGTATTTAAGAAATAAAAATCAAGAGAATACAAAAACAATAAAAATATAATAAATATAATTTACTACTAATTAATGGATGAAATCATTTATTTTAAAAAGTACCAATAATTTCTTTACTAATAAATTAAGCAAACTAATTTTAATAATATATTTCAAAGGAAAACAAAACAAAAAAAAGCTTTAAAAGGGGAAAGAATGAAAGAAAGAACTGTAAAATTAACAAAATCAAATTTGAATACAGGCCATAAATTCTTCAATTCTTGAAATTTCACAAAATACGCTTTCATTGTAGCTAATAACATTGAAGCTAATACACACTGTAAAATAAACTTCTATTTTGAAAATTTAATGAATTAATTTCTTCTGAGAAAAATAGAAAAAGTGTAAGCTAATTTCATAATATTTTTAATGCAAAATAACAAATGAAATGACTTACTCGTGGCAAATGAACTAATGCTGGACCAATATATAATATTACCGAAAGTAATGTAAGAATTGGGAAAAGTGTTGTCAACTGAAACGAAGTAATAGTAAAAGCAAAGTGATAATTAATGATAATACTAGCAGCAATAATTATTAATAATAATAGTAATAACAATAATAATAATAACAAAAATAATAATAATAATAATTACAATAGTAATGATAACATTTATAATAATAATAATAGTAAAAGGAGTATTGAATGAAATAATTGTTATGTCATTCGTACTTGAGTACTTCCACCTACAGCTGCGCCAATTATTGAACTAGCAAAACCGGAAGTAACGGGATAAACCGGAAAAAAGGATGAAAGCATGCTAGATAATCCTAATGCATATAGTTCCTATAAAAAAAGAACGAAATGAAAGAAAAAAGTGAAAATTATTTAATGTCATTATTACCATAATTTTTTGCTCCTACAAAAAAATTTAATAAAACATTAACAGAATGCAAATAATTTACCTGTCGATAACAAATTTTGTAATTATAACGTCGTTCAACACTTTTCGCCACAGTTATATGTACAGCAACAGATATTGCAGCTATAATTAACGAATCGAAAAAAATGGTTGAAATAAAATCAAATCGTGGTAAAATGGCGTTGGAAATCTAAATCAATTTAATTTTCATTATATATTTGAAAGTTTTGAATTCGAAAATTTCGCATTACAAATGAAAATTTCACTAGTTTAATTTTAATCATTAACATATTTTAATTAATTTAGCAATTTTAAATAAACCAGCAAAAAAAAAATCATTATTTAATAAAAAAATCATTATTTAATAATAATAATTTTTTTAAAATTCAAGTCAAACTTGGCACGCGTTTATATAGTGATATTTAAAATTTTGAAATGTTAAAGAAGATATATATATACCTAGGTCTAATATAATGTTAATTTAAGGAAAATTAAAATTATCGGTTATTAACTAATTAATGAAAAAATCGAAATAATTCATACACAGTAGGTATATCACCAACAACATTTACTTCATAACGTTCTGATATTTCAGCAAAATTTGTTGCAATAATTGCTATTATTGCCTAAATTATATCAAAAATTATTGATAATTTAGTTTCTATTGTTTAATTGTTAATTTTATTAATAAAAACAATGTAATTAAATAGGAACGATATATTGATTTCGAAGAATACTTACTAACATAAGCTCATATGAAAGTAGAAATAAAAATACATCAGAAAGCCGTGGTGCAAGTATTTCTTTTCCAAAAAAAAGAAAAATGATAGCTGATATGCTAAATGCTATAGTTGGTAGGTGTATTTCGGAAGAATGTTCCAAAAGATCATAAATTCTCAAATAATTGTTATTTATTATTATTATATTTTAAGATTATGAATTAGTTTTTTAATTTCAAAAATAATTTTTTCAATGAAAATAATTAATATGCTATATTATGCTAAAAATTTATTTCTATAGTATTTGTCTGAAATCGAAATTTCTAGAATTGATTTTGTGCTAAATAATATTACAAAAGAAAAAGAAAAAACGAGAAAAAAGAAATTAAAACAACTATTTAATTAATTACACAATAGAGCAAAAAATACATGTATACAACCGCCAACAACAAAGCCAGACACTACTTGTTCCCAAAAATAGCATGTCAAAAATTCTAGGCGCAAAATGCCCATTATAATCAGCAAAAAAAAAAAAGCTAGTCAATTCAGTTATAATTTCGAAAGAGGTATCATGCATTCAAAGATTTTGTTGTTAAATTTAATTAGTATTAATTTGGGATTTGGTAGCATTTATTTACTAAAACGAAAAATATTCAAGAATAATTTCTAGCTTCTAATTAAAATTCTTTTGCATAATTGTATTGAAAAAAAACGATAAATTTTTGATACCAAAAATTTTTGAAAATTTGCAAATGATAGTATCAACAAAAGCAACAATTACTTATTAATAGGAATTTTATTAACTGAATAATGGAATACAGTATGGTGCTAAAAGTTTAGTTTGTATATTAATTCTATGTTAAAATTTAATTTAAAAATTTGATTTCTATTTTTAACATCTCAATAAGCTTTTTTTATTATAAAAAAAACTGCTTTTTTTCTTCATTTAATATAAATAAGGAAAAGCTATATGTAATATGAAGTTAAAATAACTAATTTACTTAATGAATTAAATAAAATGTAAAATTGACAAATTCGTTTTCATTTTACAACAAAGTTCACAAAGAAATTTAGGAATAAAATTTAAATCACATTACCTGCATAAAACCACTTATAAACATAATAGAAGTTGCCACATGTATTGGTTTCAAATTATCCAAGTCAGCTGAACTTTTAGAGAATGGAAAATTTGAATTTGTTCCATTTATAAAATCCATTGATAGTGTATTATTAAAATAATCAAAAATATCATTGTTATTTTCAAAATTTGTTTAATTTTTTAATTTGCTGTCTTTTAGCATAACTTTTTGAATAGCTGAATGCGTCATTAATGGTAGTACTGCAAAACCACCTGAACAACAAAGAAAACAATAAGATATTATCTAATGTCTCATATAATTATTACTGATAAGACTGATAAAAATAACTAATTTATGATGAATAATTATTATTTCATTTATTTTTAGCATTTAAAAAAAAAAAAAAAAAACTAATGGTAAATTGTGTTGAAAGTATCACAAACGATAATTATTGCTAATGTAAATGATTATTATTATTAAAATTAAATAAAAAACAAGAGCTTAACAGAAAGAAAGTAATTTTGAGAAAATTTTTCAAAACAAAAATTGACAATTTTGTTAATTAATTGTGATAACAGTAATATTTTTATGCAAAAATTTTGACCAAATAAACTGTAAAAATTTCAAAAATATAATTTCGTTTATTTTTGTAATTCCATTACCAAAATTTGAGTGATTAAAATTTTACCTAATGAATTATGCCGTGATGTACCAAATAAAATGTAAAAAAATGCTGGAAAGATAGCCGTATACAGGCCACGGACAGGTTCAACTTCAGTTAATGCTGGATGAGCAGTTCCTGAAATATTTTTAAATTTTACATTTTAAAACTTGAAAAGCCAATTCGATTCAAATTTTTCTTAAATTAAATATTGATATTTTTCTTTTGCATAGCAAATAAAGTGAGACAGATTAAACGAACAAATTTTTTAAAAAATTAAAATTTGAAATTTAAAAGATAAAATGAAATAATATCTTGTGGAATAGCTAATACAGCCATTGATAATCCACCGCTTACATCACCAAAGAATGAATTGCGCCAATTATATTTTGGTAACCAATATATTATAGGTAAATAATTTTTGATAAATTCAAATAAATTGATAATTTTTTTTTCAAATTTTATAAAATTGTTGTTGTTGTTGTCGTATAGCTGAAATAATTGGAAAATCATTTGTTACTATTTCAGCTGTCATTAAATATTTGCAACTGAAATATATTTTAACTTTTATTTAAAAAAGCATTTCATTAAAATTTTACATTACATAAAAATTGAATGAATTTTTTGAAGCTTTAGAAATAAAAATAAATGTAATAAAAATTTTTTCTGATTTTTTAATTAAAAATAAGACATATCAGATGAAATTATCATTGTTGCAATGAATGAGTGATAATTGATAGCGTTTACAATTATCATAGATTTGCAATTGTTTAATAAACAATTAATTAATTAATTTTATTATTGACAAATTGTTACAAAACATACGAAATTTTTTTTTTCAAAAACCATTTGTTATACAAATTTATTCCATTGTTATTTATTTCAAAAAAAAAAAAAACTAAGTTCTTTCTTATATTTTATTATAATTCCTTTATTATTTATTTGACCATTATAAATTTAAGATTTTAAAAATTCCTTTGTTTTTTCTTGCTCTTTATAAATTTTACGACATCAATGAATATTGCCGTCACATCAAAGTCACCATAAAGCTATTCTATTATTACACTTATTATTAAAACATTAAAAATTTCAGAAGAAAATCTATTACTAACATTAACAATTAAAATTATATTTTAATAGAAAATTTTCATACAATCCTAACAATTATTGAATGTGAGATAAAAAATATAATACAATTGTTAATTCATTAAAACTTTTTCAAATCAAAAATCTTAAGCCAAAAACTTTTCAAATCAAAAACATTAATTATAACAATTACTAATTATTCAATGGAAAAAATAATAGCAGCTATTAATACAAAAATGTAACTAATAGCAAAAATTTCTACGACACAGATTTTTCAGTTTTTTTGCTTCAAGAAAAAAGGGAAAAGAAAATCCATTAGTCAGATAAAATTGTCACGAAATGATTAGCTAACATTGAACAAAACTAATCAGGTGAAATTTTAATCTTTTATGCAAACATACTAATTAATTTTATTAGAGCTAAATTATTTTAAAATGTTGAGGAATGATGTTTTACATTTTACTAATTTTTTGCTTTAATTTTTTTTTTTAATTTATATGTAATCAAATTATATTATTGAGGTATCATTGTATTCACAAATTTAATTTGATTCTTTTTTTTTTCTTGATCAATTATATGCTGTTGAAATATTATTGTAATAATTACGGCTAATATTAATTATCTTTAAAAAAATTATCATTTTGATTAATTTTAAAATATTATTTAAAGTTAGAAATATTATTTATATTTTATTGATATTTTTTTATAGCAAATTTTTAATAATCTTTATTTTGCAATTACTCAATCACATATTTTGTAATTTTAAGTGGCTTTGATCACTTGATGATAAGGTCATAGCTGTTTGGTTGACACAATCTGAGATGTCATTCAAGATTGCTTTATTTGCTAGCAATATACGAAATGAGATCAATGACACGACTGCTGTAGCCATATTCATTGTCGTACCACGAAATCAATTTTACGAAATTTGCATTAAGCGAAATGCAAGCTTTAGCATCAAAAATTGACGAATGTGTGTCACCAACAAAATCTGTCGAGACAACCTGTTAATTTCAAATTTTATTTGAAAATATTAAAACTAATTCATAACAAAAAATTCTAAAAAAAGAAATTCTGCTTAAACTATTATTAATAGTTGATGAAAACAAAATTATTTAAGTGATAGAATAGCTGAATAATATAATTAGGTGTAATATTTTAACTAGGCTAATTAAGAACTAATAACATCGAATTGTACTCATCTACAAGTTATGAAATTTAACCTGATCCTCCGTATAATCAAGAATTCCCTTCATCGGTCCATTAGCTGCTTCCTTTACAGCAGCCTTAATTTCATCCATTGTTGCACCTTTCTGGAGTCGGCAAGTGAGATCAACTACTGATACATCCGGAGTTGGAACACGGAAAGCCATGCCAGTAAGCTTTCCATTCAGATCCGGAATAACCTAAAATCTTTATGGATGCAACTCCCACCTTCATAATAGGCAAGATCCGAAAATTAAAAAACGTTTTCAGCATTAAAGCTTACTTTCCCTACGGCCTTGGCTGCACCAGTGCTTGCTGGAATGATGTTTTGGCCAGCACCACGACCATCTCGCCACAGTTTTCCAGATGGTCCATCAACAGTCTTCTGAGTAGCCGTTGTTGCATGTACAGTGGTCATAAGGCCCTCAATAATTCCGAATTTGTCATGAATGACCTGAAATTAAAGACTCAGACATATCACACTAAAACTCCTCAAATGATGAAACAATCAACAGTTGTTTCACATCTTATTTCCGCTGTATCTGATCAATTTTTACAAAAGAAAAAAATAAATGTTAGCTTAAATTAGAAAATCTTCAACCTTGGCCAACGGAGCCAAACAATTGGTGGTGCAAGAAGCATTAGAGATGATATGATTGTTGGCCTTATCATACGTATCATTGTTGACACCCATTACAAACATCGGTGCATCAGCAGATGGAGCCGAAATGATAACTTTCTTGGCACCACCCTTCAGATGCGCACTTGCTTTGTCCGTTGTTGTAAAAACGCCCGTCGATTCCACAACATACTCCGCTCCGTCTACTCCCCATGGAATCTCAGCGGGATCTTTGCTGCAACTCAGTTGCAATCACTTACTTTTAATTTAAAATGCTTATATCTATATCAAACTATATGGACGAGACTTTGAATGCTTGCAGAGACATGCTATTATAATTGAAGTTTATCTGCGGAAGAGCCTTGATAAGGCTTTTCGTAATTGACAGATTAAAATGATCAAAAATAAATACACTCAGAGACATTTCTCAACAATTTGAAAGAAAAGAAAGGAATTAAAACACCAAATGACTCATTTGGAAGATAAAAATGCGGGCAGTAATATATATTTTTCTCCTTCTTTCCTTTTAAATTGAAAACCATTTATGTAAACTTTTGAAATGAATAGTAATATGAATTAAAATGATGGTGTGTCACCTGTTGTGCACAGAGATATGATGGGTCGTTTTGCCATTTGTTACAATAAGCTTGCCTCCCTCTGCAGAAACACTTCCCTTGAAGCGTCCATGTGTTGAATCATATTTGAACATGTACACCTGAAAAATAGGCAATTTTACAACTATTCACATGTACTTTTGTATAGCAAGTTGAACTGTATTAATCGATCAAAATACTTATTGATAAATATCAACAAAAAAAAAAAAAAGGAAAATAAAAATAATTTGTAATGATTTCTACTCTCCAATGTTTTCTCGTTGAATACAAATCTTCAAATCTCAAGCAGTCAACCACCTTCGAACAAAAGAAAAAGGAAAAAAATATAAAAAATAATATTTTCAACGTCAACAAACCATATAGTCAATGTTAATAAACGGATCATTGACCGCCACTACATCAACGGTGTCTTTTTCAACTGCCGCTCTCAAGACAAGACGACCGATGCGACCAAATCTGAATTTGAGAAAAATTTTCATCAAAATTTTTGTAAAATTTCTTCTCAATATAAAAGAAAAAAAAAATTTTAATAACAAAATAAAATATAGTTAAGTGAGAAAAAATTTTTTTCTTTTTTTTAAAATTATGTAAAAGAAAGAAAAAGCTAAAAATGTAGTCTAAAATTTACCCATTAATTCCAACTTTTGGTTTACTCATAATTGATATAACGATGTTTCAATAAAATTGAATATTATTGGTATAGCCACAACTATTAAAAAGTATTGTTGCAAATATATTTATTTAACTTTAAATTCTAACTTTTTTTCGCTATCTTTCATTTTTATCTTATCATTATGATTTTAACGTAAGTAAAGATTATCCAGGAAGATATCATATCTCTGAATACGGTTTTTTATCATAGTTATCCTTATTTGTTACTTATGTAATATGTTATGGGCAAAAAATTACTCTATCATTAGGATGAAATTAATAAAATAAATATATTAATAGTATAATTATAACACAATAAGTAATAGCATAATTATAATTTAAATTATCTCAAAAAAATTAATTACTTCTCTCTCCCCTCAACTATTATCACTCATTAGAGTAGCAAAGGTAAAAATTTTTTAAATTTTATAAATTTTTAAATCTTTATAGTCAAAAATCAAAAAAGGGATGATTGAAATTTTCGAAAAAATTGTTAAAATTAATTAAAAAATTTAAAATTTTCACAATTATAATGGAGTAATATTTTATCCTAGAAATGAATAGATGAATTATAAAATAAAAGGGAGAAAGAAAAGGAGAGAGAAAGAGAGAGAAGGAAATACTGAAAGGCAAATTTTAATCTTGTTCATGATACCACAATTATTATAGCATTCTAATAAGAAAGAGAAAGCTAATTAAAGATGAACCGATTTAGTAAACTGCAACAATGACTAAATTACATCACAAAATGATATTTTATACTAATATATTTGGAAAAAAAAAAATCTATTATGCAGATTTTCCAATGATCTGTTTAAAACATTGAAATATGAAACTTTCAGGAAATAAATATAATTTGCCTGAAAAATTCGCATACTCATTTTGTTGAAGTGCAAAATGAGCATAGGTACTAAAGTATGAATAAAGTTGTTTTTATCCTAAGGTATAAATTTCGGAGGCTTTTGTTCTAAGGTATAAATTTTGAAAGCTTTTATTCTACAAGATATGAATTTTCAAAGAATTACTTTTGCAGAGAAATATGAATTTTAGGAGAGTTACTTTTTCTTTGGGATATAAATTTTGGGAGAAATATTCCTTTGCATTCCTACATGTATTGAGTAAGTAAAATTGCCCTCATTACCTTAGTATTAATTACATTTCAGTTTATTAGACTATCATTAGGTCTTAACGACCCCAAAGATTTCAAATAAACTCTAAATAGGCTTAATTGTTATTGCCATATAACATTTCAATGCTTATATCATAAATTAAAATTGGAATTAATAAATAATGAGGGGACAAACATACTATCGAAATACTTGTTCAATTAAAAAATATTAAATTTAATTGATATCAAAGATTTTTTCTTTGTTTTTTAAAGTTTTCAAAATTTGCTCTCTGTTATGCATCACAAGATTTGAATATTTTAATTCACCAATAATAATAGTAGCATTTATTGAAAACAGTATGAAATAATAATTCCCACAAAAACGATTAATATCAAAAAAAAAGAAAAAACCAGTAAGAGTTGGAAATTTTTGAAGTTCAACTTTAAATATTCAATTATAAATAATTACTAATAAAATATTATATTCCAAAAAAAAAATTGAATGAATAAATGAAAAAGAGTGAAACTGAAATGAAATCAAGACATGATATAACATTAAAAAAAAAAAAAAAAATGTCATTTGCAATTATTAGCTTACAAAAAAAGGTATCAAAAATTTTATTAATATTATAGCTTCTCTCTTCTATAATTCTCTCTTCTATAATTTATTAGCATTTCAATTGCTGTGTTTTTAATTTTTTGATCTGCGAAATAATTGGCGTAATTCTTTCCGCACGTCATCAGTCATGACATCCATAATTTTAGCTCGTTCAGCTTTCAAACGTTCTAATTTATGAAAAACTTCCTTGGCTGCTGGTGAAAGATTATTCACCTGAAATATTTACAATTTTTATTTTATAGCTTATTAATAGTTTAAAAGAAGAGAGAAAGAGAGAGAGAAAAGAAAAAATAATTCATATTTGTTTCACTTTTTAAAAAGTAATAGAGATTTGTGGCAGTAAATATTAAAATATATGCATATGCATGTATAATAATAATAATTAATAATAATAATAATAATAATAATAATAATAATTAATAATAATAATAATAATTAATAATAATAATTAATAATAATAGTAATAATAATAATAACAATAATAATAATAATAATAATAATAATAATAATAATAATAATAATAATAATAATAATAATAATAATAATATAGTAATAAATTTGTTGCAATGTTTATTAACTTGAATTAAAATTTCAGTACAATTTTAGTTAAGCATGGCTATACTAATTACTTTTATTCTTTCATTACAGGAATTAATTTTAATTGATATAAAATCAAGAAGGAAAAGGAAGAAATTAATTCATGTTCAGTTTAATTTTTTAAAAATAATTTAAAGGCAATAAATATAAGTAATGAAATATTAATAAACAGTAAATGATGAAATATTTAATTTACCTTATTCTCAAATTCCTTCTTTTGATGTTCACGCTCCTCCAGATATCGTCTAAATTCGGCAAGCTGTTTTTGATTTAAAATTTGTACCGCCAGATTGCTGCAAATTTCAAATAACTTTAAATGAGATGCAAAATTTCAATATTTCAAATTTTAGTTTTTTTAGGAGGATTTTAGTAAATCAGTTACTAAACAATTAACTTTATTTGAAAACAAAAGGTGGAAAAAAAGGAAACAAAAAATTCTAAGTTTGAATATGATTTCAAATTCTAAAATAATAACATTTAAATTTAAATGTCTCTTTTTTTTTTAAATTTATATAGTTAATTATTTACAAAGAAAATCTAACAGTCTTTTTTTTTAAATTTAATTACTTCTTTCCACACTTATTTCATTTTATATTTATAACATTTTCAGTTTATTATTCGCTATTAAACAATAATAAAAAGCGCTAATGATCAATTTGTATTCCATTTGTCATTTACATATTTATTTATTCAACGAATCTTTAAGTTGTCACTTTTCCCTTTAATCTCAGTATTAAATGTCCATCACTTCCTTTTGTCCACCATTTTTAATGCCAATATTAAATGTTCATTATTATTTCTAATGCCAATAATAAGTGTCCATTATTATCTTAATTACTTTTATTTATTAATGTTGAATGTCTAACATTTTGAATCTCAAATACTAAATGTCCAATTACTTTAACTGTCACTAAATTGTCTCTAAAAATTTTTTTGACAAAAAAATTTTCAAATTAGAAAAAATAAAAGAATAACTTTAATTCTTGTTTCTTCTCATCATGCTTTAATGTTCGATTATGCATAATATCTCGAAACATCTTTCTCACACTAATTGGCGCATCTTTGAGAAACGACGGTGGTCGACCGAATAACACCGCTCGTATATCACTTGTTAGATTATCAATCTATAAAATTTGTATGAATTAATAAATTATTTAATAATGATCATTTTAAAATTAAAAAATTACAAAAATTTTTTGAAAATAATAAATTTAATAAAAAAAATTTTCTTTTTGGTGTTAAGAATGATGAGCTATTTAGGTTTCTTTTTTCATAAATTTATCAGAACAAATTTTTTCATAATTTGTCACTGATCAAAATAATTGATTATATCGATTATTTATTATGTTATTTCAATAAGAATTTTTTGCTTAAAAAAAAAATTTTTTTTCAATAAAATAAAAACAAATGGATAAATTGAAAGTGATTCATTCAAACTTTTCGTCCAGCAGAATTCTTTCTATCATAAATATAAACAAAGAAGAAAATTTTTGTTTGGAAATTTTAATGAAATAATACTAAAATTAACAATTTCTTGTGTTTCGCGTCTTTGATCAGTGCAATCGTCGCCTGATTTATAATCTTTCCAAATTGATAAAATTTCCTTCTTTTCGCTATTCGGTAAATCATCAACAAATGGCGGTAAACCACACTGATTAGATGCTTTCTAAAAATAATTTCAAAATTTATGAAACATATTGAAAGTAAATGCAAGTGTATTCTTTTTTCCTCTAATAAAAATTAATTTGCGCTAATTCTATGAAAATAATTTGAATAATAAATTTTTACATAATATTCTTTAATAATATTTTAAAATAAGTGAAAAAGAAAAATATTATGAATAAATTGTAATAATAATCGTTAAAATTAGGATATGAAAATTTTACTGATAATGATTCTAGACAATATTATTTGTAATGATTTCATTTCAGTCTATTCATATTCAATATTCAGTTATCCAGTATTCCAATCTGGTTCCGAATAAAACATGTTCAGTGTTAAAAAAGAAAAGATGATATTGGAATTAAGAAATGAATTACTGCTGCTTCGATAAAGAATGATGATGATGATAATAATAACAATGATAAAGTTAAAGTAATTGATATTATCATAATATATGACTTTTGCTTCTTCCTGAAAATTTCGGTATTCAATAATACATATAATAAACAAATTTAAATGAATATTCACAACTGTGCAAGAATTTTTTAAACTTCATAATTTTTTCAGAACTGATTAATACCTCTATTTTTTTTAAAAAAAAATATTACCTTAATAAAAATCATCAAAAAATAAAAGTAAAAACATACAAGAAATTGGCTGGAAAAGAAAAAGAAAAAATAAACAATAATTATCGAATACTTACTATTTTTCCTTTTTTCAATTTCAATTTTAATTTACTTTTTCAGTTCAAAAATTTTCACATACTTTTTTACAACTTGGACTTTGTTTATTGCTTTTTCCAGGGGAAAGGCAAAAAAATATATTACAATTTTGATCGTTTATTTATTTTCTATTGTAATTTATTTACCAATATTTTATCACAAATAATACGAATAATTTGTTTGTTCATTTGATTTATTTCATTTATGAGAATTAAAAATTAGCAAACTAAAGAAAAATTATTAATTTTAAAATGTGTGAAATTGTCAATAGGAAAATGCTTTTTTTAAAGGCTAAGAAAATATCATCATTAATTTTATAATAATTAAACAAATGTTTACTTCTGCCCAATGATAGAATTAATTGAAGTTTACAAATCAAGTTCCATTGCATGAGTCAAATAAATAGTGAAAATATTAAAATCAAATTTCAGGCAAAAAAGGAATTGAAAAAAACCTTTAATTTTAATATCATAAACGAAGACGCATAAATAATAAATTTGAAATATTTCCCTGACAAAGCCAAAACTAGAAAAAAATTGAAAGAAAGGAATGCAAAAGAAAAACGCAATGTATGAAGACGAAATAACTGAAAAATAACTGAATGAAATTAAAAGATGCATATTTGTCACACACACACACACACACACACACACACACACACACACACACACACACACACACACACACACACACACACACACACACACACACACACACACACACACACACACACACACACACACACACACACACACACACACACACACACACACACACACACACACACACACACACACACACACACACACACACACACACACACACACACACACACACACACACACACACACACACGCCTACGATATCAAGCAATTTTAGAATGAATCATTCATTTGAGCTGAGTGGGAGTTATTGAAGAGAATAGTGTGTGACATCTTTGTTTGCTACTAAAATGACATATGCACATATGACATCGGCAAAATCTCATCAATGAATAAAATCGACTGCCACATTTCCATTATGCATAGAAAAAAAAAGTCAGACATAACATCAATAAAAGATTAGTGATTATAAATGCAATTTCAATTTTAACATTTCAAAGATCAATTTTAATCTGTTATTTCCATTTTTCAAAGAAAAAAGTTTTTTTTTTTTTTTTTAATATGGGAAGCTTTTGCATTTTTTATGCAATAATGAATGAATAGCAGCTAATTTTTACATGAGATACTTTATGCATTCTATATAAACTTTAAAAAATTTTATTTTCAACAAAAACTAGCAATGAATTTGGTTATATCAACAAAGTATGATAATGGAAGAACATAGCATTGAATAAAACCATCATAAAAGAAACATAGCATTGAATAAAACCATCATAAAAGAGACATAGCATTGAATAAAACCATCATAAAAGAAAAAAAGTAAGTTTAACCGAAGTAGGATATAGCATATTAAACGTGATAATTTAATTTCAAATCCGGTTGTTCAACAAAACCTAATAATTTTATATAATGGATTTCCTAAATTATACTTTACAAATAATTAGCAAAGATTACACATTATTTTATTAAAAAATTAGATCAGGAAGAGTGAAGATGAAGTGTACTTTTTGAAATTTCAAATAACAACTACAATTAATTCACCTAATTCCACAATTTTTTTTTTAAAGTTATGAAACAATAAATTAATATTAATAAAATTACTTGTAATATTCAACTTTATAAATAAGAAAAGGATAATTAGGACTGTAAAGGAAACAAGTTTACGGAATAAAAAAGGAAATAAAAGTTAAAGCCTAAAACAAGTTGCATACGCATACTGAAAATTGCAGGAAAGTGTTTTTATTGTCGTTTTTTTTTTCCATTACTTATATACGCTTCGACATCAATCAGTCAATTAAGGCTTAGCAAAAAAGTAACCGATGATTAAATAATTCAATGTCACTTTTCTTTTGCTTTTTCTAATTTACGCAGTGCTGTCTCGAGGAACATTCGAGAATTTCGACGATCATCACCGTGAATTTTTGAACATCTTTGTGGCAGATGACAACGACTGCACAATGAACAGTGCTTATACGTGCTTTTGACACACTGACCACATTTATCACAGTGTTCGCAAATGTTAGCCTACAAATAAAAATGAAAATAGGAAAGAGTAGAAAAATAAATCATAATTGAAATAATGAATTTTCTCTATTTTATTTTGCTAGTAGAGAGGAAAAAAATGATTTAACATACTTGATTAAATGAATATTGCGAAAACCTTAATTTAAATAAAAAATGCATTACATCGGAAGAACAAGTCTCGCAAAAATTGCAATGAAGAGTAGTTTTTATAACAAACTTTACACATTTATCACAAAACCTGAAAATTTAAAGATTTTAAGCTGAAAAAAAAATCTTAAATTTTTTGATCAAGAATTTTTATGTTGCATAAAAGAAAAGAGAAGAAATTTCAAAAAGAAAAGAGAAAAAAAATTCTAAATTTCTAAAGAAAGAATAAGCAAATTAAAAATAACACTGACCTATAACTAGGATCTTTTGACAAGTCGAATTCATTTAGTGGAAGATCGGTAAATATACGAACGATGGACTTTTCTGGCCGCTTATATTTCGAGTGATTTTTATAACATACCTGAAATTTTCGAAGCTCTTTTTAAAATCAAGACATCACTGTCAACACAAAGATTAATTCAACTTATGAGAATTTTTTCTGTAGTGTTACTTTTATCAGTGTCCTAAACATCACTACGGACATAAAAAAGACCTTATAAGCATGCAGAATTAGGATATGAAATAATTCTTAATAACATTAATATATTGGAACGATAGTTGATAAATTAAGAGAAATTCGCAAACATGAAACACACAAATACTTTAATAAATAATCAATAAAGAAATTTTTTGTTGAAGCAATTTGTGATTTGAAAACTTTAAAAAAATTCGAACATTGTTGGTGTTTTGTTAAGAAGAGTCTTGTGAAAATAATGAATAACTAACTCTGTAATCCAACATTTGGAAATCGTTGCAATTTAGAAAACGCCTTCCAGTGAAAATTGGAAGAACAATAATATTTTTGCACCAACTATTACTGAAATATAAAAATTAAAAATGAAAAAAAAAAGTCCAAGTGAAAGATGCAAAAATTTTCAAACTTACTTCAATTTGCCAGTGGTGGAAGTGAAGAACTGCTCTCGAAGTTTCTCTATTGAATTTTTCAAGGCTTCTATGAAAACACCGAAAGGAGGATCACACACTATCACCAAACGATGAACTGATCCAAAAAATAAAATAAGTTTTGTGATGCTTATTGGGTCGTAAAAATGATTTGTCAGCATACTGTATACTGCAAAATGACTGGAACGAAAAAATGGTACCTGAAAAATCTTTTTCTATAAAAGGGTAAGCCACTATTTGTCATCTGTAATTTTTTGCTACCAAAATAAATTTGAAAACATTAGAAATATTTCAGAAATAATATGTATTAAAAGAAAAAAAAAAAAAACAAGAACAACATGATTCGGTTGAATTTTTGATGATGCTAAAAATTTATTGCAGCAGTGTGGAAAATCGTATTGCTACAAAAAAGACATTTTTTCATTCAAAAACTTTGAGAATATTGCTGAAAATTTGGCATAAAGAATTTACATATTTTTGAGGAAATTTTAAAAGGAAATCTCACAAATCGAGCATCGATATCCAACAAAAATGTTTTTATTTTTTGTCGAAGTAATTTACAACTTTGAAAATGCTCGAATACTGTTGGTGTTCCGATGCATAACACTCCATCACAGCCAGACTTTTCAAGGGCATTTACTATTACTGTCAATGACTCATCCGTAAACCAATATTGCTGAAAAAAAAAAAAAAAAAAAATTTAACAGTTGTTCTTTTCCACTTTAACTACAAAATTATTTTTTAATTTTGCATTGTTAAAGAATTCTCCACTACTCCCTTCGATGAATAAGAAGGAAAATGTATTATTATATATTAGAATATAAATTGAAATGTAATATATTAAAATATAAAAAATTGAAATTACTAAAATATAAATTGAAAGCGATCAAAAAGAAAGCCATGAAATAAGCTTACACTTTCAGAATCATTCTTCACATGTGCAGAAAACAGTTGTGAAGGTTTTCTTAAAGAAGAGATTCCAAGTGGTCCTATAATCGGATGAGTATGTGGCAATGAGAATACATCATTGCAAGTTGCGCAATAGTAAACCTTTTCATTCTTTGCTCTCAGTAAATTCACTCTGTAAATTACCAAATTGCAAAGAAGTTTGACAAATTTTTAATCTGAAAAAAATCTATTTCCTTGAACTTCATTTTAAGAAAACCACAGATTTGATAAGTCTTAAAAAGTGAATTATATTATAACTAAATATCACTTATTATTAAATCGTACAGCACTAATGTAAGGAACATTCCGGTTTATATAAATGTCTTACGCATGTGAAAACGTTTAGGCATCATAAGTTAATAAATAATTATTTTCAAAACATCCCTCATTTAAAAAAGTTTAATTGAAAAATTTGAGAAGTAATATTTTCAGAATAAAGTTCACTTTTTCCGTATAACAGCATAACAGAACGATGTCATGGCAACATTCAAACTGCCGAAATTGCTGAGCACATTATTTGAAATAATTTTGCAACTTAAATTCAGTCGAAATGGACAATGCTTTTGAGATCGATAAACAGCACAAGCAAAGAACTTTTCTTTT